CGAGTCCGCGCAATCCTCCCACGGCGGAGGACGAAGGAGTGGGAGGGGGGAGGATCGGGGTTGACAGACCTCCTACCCTGACGCGTCGATTAGCGAATTGGCCGTTTTCGGTTCGCGAGAGGGCGTCGCGGCCGTCATTTTTGCGGGTCCAGGTCCGTCGGCTTCGGTCCCAGGCCGTTTTCACTAAAGGGTGGTTTACTAAAGGGAGGTTTGTCCACCGCCGAGAGGAGGGGTGAAGGACGGGGCCACGAGCTTCGCTCATAGTTTGCCCAACGCAGACAGGGGGGAAGGAGTGGCAGGAGGTCGGTCGGGAGCCGATCGCACAGAGGTTTGTAACGAACGCAGGGGGCAAAACAGCTGCGAACCGTGGCGGCACCAGAGCTTCGGCGCTTTCCCCGAGGGGAGCCCGTTGCTCTTGGGGGGGGGGAGGGGGCGGGCAGGTGGCGGCATTCGTGTCCCGTTACACGAAACGGACCGCCCATCCCCAGCCACTGGGGCAACGACAGGGGGGGATAAGCATAGGGGGGGTGCATCGACCCCAGTGATCGCCGACAGGGGCCCAGTAGCTCCAACCTGTCCAGGAATGTGCGGATTCACCAGCAGTGTCCTATCGCCGATCTATCGGCGATGTATCGCCGATTCCAGGTCGATGCGTCCCCCCTGTGCCAGTACCCCCCCTTACGTTGCCCTTGTACTACCACCCAGGCAGAGGCGAGGAAGAGGAAGATGCCAACCACGAATGGGGGGAGGAGGACCAGCAGGATGGCCCAGGGGATCGCGCGAGGGAGTAATTAGTTGATCTGTTTCTTCGTTTTCTTCGTTTTCTCCTTTTTCTTCTTCTTCTTCTCCTTCTTCTCCTTCTTCTTCTTCGTCTTTTCATTCTTTTTTGCCGGCTGTGAGTTCGCGAGAAGGGTCACGTCCATGAGAGGGGCCCGCCGGTGTGGAGAGCGGCTGGGGCTCAGAGCAAGAGCAGGCCCCCTCGTCCACCTCTTCCCCGCCCCCCCTCTCCTCCTCTCGCTTCTCCTCGTCGTTCTCCTTCTCCCCTTCCTCCCCGTCCACCTCTTCCCCGCCCCCCCTCTCCTCCTCTCGCTTCTCCTCGTCGTTCTCCTTCTCCCCTTCCTCCCCGTCCGCCTCGTTCTCCTCGGCCTCTCCCTGCTCTCCGGCCGTGGCCGTGAGCTGCTGCTCTTGCCGCCTGCGCCATTCGCCTCGCGACCTCCCTGGGCTCAGCGCGCGCGCTCATCCGGCGACCCAGGCCATCGACCTCGACAAGGGCCTCAAAGGGAACCAGCTGGGCAACTGCCGCCGGCCGCCGAACGCCATGGTGTCGGGCATGAAGTCCCTGCAGTACAACGGCTTCAACTCCACGGAGACGCGGTGGCGACCGTCGCCCCGCCCCTGCCGGGGGATGGGCGCGGGTCGGGAGAGGCGGGCGGGGGGCCGGCGCTGCACGGAGCGCGTCGGCGCCTGGCGCGAGAGGGCGTGCCATGCTTGCAGCGCGCCCCGATGCACCTCTGGACTCCTCCTCCTCCTCCTCCTCCTCCTCCTCCTCCTCCTCCTCAGCCATGCACAGACACAAAGAATCGCCGATGCCCAGGAAAGCATATGGGGACAGTGTGGGAGGTGGGGCGGTCTCGAGGCCGAGGCCCGCGGTGGTGGGCGCGGCGGGGCCAGAAGTCTGAGTCTCGAAGGTATGCAAAATCATGGGGGATTTTGGGATTTGCGCTTCTTTATCAGAAGAGGAAAAGGTACCCATACCTCTACCCTTCCCTTGCTTTTCCATCCTGGAACCTCCTGGAGGCCTGGCCGTCACCGCTGAGTTCGCTTCGAAGTTCTGGTCAGAACGCACCCCAGGGGAGGTCCGGGGAGTAGCGGTATCAGTACCTTTTTGCCTCTCCAATTTTCAGGAGGGGAAAAAACACACAGACACAATTAATCGGCGATTCCCAGAAAATATGGGAAAATATGGGAAGTGGGGGGGAAGACAAAAACCCAGAAAATATGGGAAAATATGGGGATTTCTTTTTGCCTCTCCAATTTATTTGAATGAACGCCCCTGAGGGTGCAGACCCCCGCCCCACCATCTTTGGAACCCGGAGGCGCTGACTGTGGTGCTGGTGCTGCTGCTCGGGCTGTTGGTAGTGCTGCTGCTGCTGGTGCTGGCGCTTTTGCTGCTGGTGTTGGTGCTGTTGATGCTTGTGCTTTTGGTGCCGTTTCTGCTGTCAGGGGTCGCGCCTATTTATGCAATCGCTTGGCCCATTCCGCCGGCCCGTATTGTGCCATCGCAGGCGTTTGCCTGCGCGTTCGTGGCCTCTCGGAGGCCCTTTTAGGGCCTCTTGGGGCCGAGAGCTTGGAATTTCCATTCAGGTTTCCCCTGTGGGTCCACTCTTGGGGCCGTCCTGGAGTGCTCTTCAGCCGTCTAGGAGGCGTCTTGGGCCGTCTTGGAGCCCTCTAAGTCCGTTCTGGGGCCCCCTCTTGGGCAGTCTAGGGGCGATCTCGGAGGCCTCTTGGGCTGTCTTGGAGCGTCGGGAAGCAGAAATGGCGAGAACGCCCAAATCCATCAATAACCGAAGGTAAATCTATTGATTTAGCCTCTTGGGGCCCTCTGGGGAGTGCTCTTCTTGGAGGCCTCTTGGGCCGTCTGGGGGCCATCTTGGGCGTCCTGAAGCGATCTTGTCGTCTCCCGGAGGCCTCTAGGACAATCTGGAGGGCCTCTTGGGGGCCTCTATGCCGCTCTTGGGGCTCTTGAGAGGCCCTGAGGGCGGTGCCCAGGAGCAGAACCATCTCCGATTGGAACTTGCCAGGGACCTGCCCGGGACCTGCTCGGGGTACTTTTCGGCCGCGGACCCCCAGGGACCGCCCCGCGCGCGCGAAATAGAAATACTTTTCAATCGGGCCTGTCTCTCTACAGGAGGAATATTAAGAAATAGTCGAAAAATAGTCGGGTGACTATTTTTTGAGTATTTTTTGAAGATTTGTTGGGCATTTTTTGACTACATTTTATGTTCCGCCCACAATCCCCCTGTAGGGGGACATGCCCGACCTAAAAATACTGTTTACCAGTTGCCGGAGACTTTGGCAGCACGCCTCTGGCCCGTTGGGCTGGCGAAGTCGTGTGTCCCTGGGCACCTTCATAGAGATTCGGGATCCCGCTAAAGTCGGAGGTTGATAGACCTCCTACCCTGACACGTCGATTAAGGAATTGGCCGTTTTCGATTCGCGAGAGGGCGTCGCGGCCGTCATTTTTGCGGGTCCAGGTCCGTCGGTTTCGGTCCGAGGTCGTTTTCACTAAGGGGAGGTCTACTAAAGGGAGGTTTGTCCACCGCCGATAAAAGGGGTGTGTGCCCTGGTGTGTGTGTGTGTGTGCGAGAGAGAGAGAGAGAGAGAGAGAGAGAATTTGAGTGTTTTTTTGCACCGGGCTGCCCAAAACAGGTGCCCCCCAGCCTCCGGCAGCTCCCGAGAGTTGCCGACAGGTGGGGCATGCGGGGGGCATCTGTCTGCGGCAGTTCAGTGCACCAGCGGAACGAACCCATGCCCCCCCTCAGGGCCACCCCTAGGGGAGCGAAAAATTACATAGACATAAAAACTCGGAGAACCGAGCGGATTTCTTTGCTACGCGCTGGACCTTTCCCTTCCTGGCGCGCGGAGCGCGCCAGGGCCGGCGCCAGAGGCGCCGCCAGGGGGGTCCATCGTAGATCCGAGAAATCCGCGCTGTCCTCCGAGTTTTTTAGGTTTGTGTCATTCTTCGCTCCCCTAACCTCTCCTTGTGGTGGATCCCGAGAGCTTCATTAGCCCCCCCCTGCTGCTGCTGCTGCTGCTGCTGCTGCTGCTGCTGCTGCTGCTGCTGCTGCTCCCCCGTGGAACGCCCAGGTAGGGCGGGGCACTCGCCCGAGTAGTGGCCGGCAGCCTCGGCCTGCGCTTCTCCGTGGGCTCGAGCGAGTCGGATGTTTCTCTCGACGTTTCGCGCACAGTCCAACCGCCTATCACTGAGCGCGTTCGACTACTCGCAAAGTGCCTACTCGCAAACTCTCGAGAAACGCATGCCTGCTTTGGTGTGATTTCTCGTAGATCCCCCGCGGCGGATCCAGGCCAATTGCGAGTAGGTACTTTGCGAGAAGTGGAACACGCTCGTCTAGCATAGTAATCGGGTAACGAACAATGACATAAACACAACCACTCGGAGGTCCGCGCGGCTGGAGCCCCCTGGCGGCGCCTCCGCCGCCGCCCCTGGCGCGCTCCGCGTGCCATGGAGGGGGGTCCAGCGCCGATCCGAGAAATCCGCGCGCATCTCCGAGTTTTTACGTTTATGTCATTCTTCGTTCCCCTAATAGTAACGATCCTTCCCAAGGGTGCCCTTACATCCTTGCCTCCTCGGTCCATCCTTGGCCGCTTGCGCTGGCCGCGCCACGCTCGCAGAGTGTCGACATGGCCTTCGAGGCCCTTGCATCCTTCCCGCGCATCCTTATGAGACAGGTTGACAGTATCCCTGCGAGCTCATCCAGTAATGATGCCCGGGCGACTTGCATTGATCAGGGAAGTGCGGGAACGCGCAGTGGAACAAAGAGAGGGGGGCAGCTGCCAGACAAAAGATCAGGATCTGCCTGAGCAGGCTCAGGAGTCGGCCATGAATGTCTTCGCGGATCTTTCGATACGGGAGCCTCTTGTCGGCTGCGAGCCAGCAGGGGAAGTGAGGAGGTTTCTGTAACTCGGGGAAGGCTCAGACAATGTCTTTGAAGGCCGGAGGCCTTCCGAGCGTTCTGAGAAGTTCCGCCCAGTCTGATTTCCCCACTAGGCTCGCCGCCAATCTTGGCATCTTGCCAGAGCCATCTTGGGACTCCGCCGATGCAGTCTTTGGATGCCTTTGGGGCCCTCCTGGGGCCCTCTTGGGGCCCCCTTGGAGGACACGGAGTCCTCTTGGAGCCATCTTGGGTTTTCTTTGGGTCCTCTTGGGGGGCTCGGGCGCCCTCTTTGGGGCCATCTTTCGGCGGCGAGCGAGGCGGGGAAGTGAGAAGGAGAAGGTCTTCTCAGAAGGTGGCGTCACTTGTCAGAAGCCCTCGCGCTTTCTGAGAAGTTTCCGGGGAAGGCTGAGAACACTTCTAAGAAGGCTTGAACATTTCCGAGCCTTCTGAGAAGGTCCGCCCCTTCTCACTTTCCTTCCGGGCTCGCCGCCAATGCAATGGAGGGTATCGATCAAAGAAGGGGGGATCCCCCAAATGCGCTGCCCCACTAGAGCCCCTAATATCGCCTCCTGGGCCCTTTGGGGCGCTCTGGGGGCCCTCTTCGGCGCCCTTGGCGCCGTCTTGGAGCTCTCTCGGGCCCCTCTTGGGCCATCTTGGAGCCACCTTGAGGCCCCAAGAGCTCATCGGAAGCGAGACGGCGAGAAGGGGGAAAACATAAATTTCCCGTAACTTGTGGACGGATTTTGACCTTTTGGGGTCATCCTTGGGAGGCTCCTTGGTCACTTGGAGCTGTGTTGGGGCCTCTCGGAGCGGAAGCTATCCTGAGCGATCTCCTCTATCTTGAGCTACTTTGGAGTTCACTTTGAGCGCTCTGGGGCCTCCCTCTGTGTCCCTCCTCGGCTCACTCCGACCAGCCCTCCCTCTACACAAGCAGGGAGGAGGATGCGCTCTGAACCACCTGCGCCCGAAAGGGCTAGTGGGCCTCCTGCCCTGCGCCCTGAATGGGCTGCTGCGTCTGCTGCGGCAGAATTTCCATACAGTATTCTCGGTCGCTTTGGCTGCCATCGTTGTGGCGATCCGCCCCATGGCCATTTGATTGGTTAACGCTGGGGGCACCTCGGGCCAGGGGCACCTCCGGCAGCACCCGATGGAGGCGGGGGTTCTGGCTTCGTGGGGCCCTGGGCCAGGGCCCCCGCGGTTCCACATGTCCTGCGTCTCGGGCAGACAGCCGGGACGTTTTTTTTTTTTTCGTGTTGTCCTTTTGTGGACTTTGCGCGCCAGGGAAGGGGGCAGCGCCGATCCGAGACATCCGCGCAGACCTCGGAAAGTTCGTGTCTATATTTTTGTTGTTGTTGTTGTTGTTGTTGTTGTGGTGATTGTTGTTGTCGTCGTCGTCGTTGCTGTTGTTGTTGCTGCTGCTGCTGCTGCTAATGTTGTTGTTGTTGTTGTTGTTGTTGTTGTTGTTGTTGTTGTTGTTGTTGTTGTTGTTGTTGTTGTTGTTGTGGTTGTTGATTTTGTCGTCGTCGTCGGCGTCGTCGTCGTCGTCGTTGTTGTTGTTGTTGTTGTTGTTGTTGTTGTTGTTGTTGTTGTTGAATATTATTCCTTCTAAAGAATTATTATTGTTGGGACCCCTGGTGCGCGACCTCTGCGCCGCGCCTAGGCCGCAGCTACATTTTCATCATTTTTTCGT